ATTAACTCTTTATGTGATTTACTTAATAATTAAAAAAAAATAGATTAACTTTTTTTAAACTGAGTTAAGTTAATTTTTTTTTCCATATTAACTTTTAACTTATCGAGTTAAATTTATAATGTGTTAACTGTTAACTTTTAACTTATCGATCTTGTGTCCTCTTAACTTAACTTAACTTGAGTTAATTATTTTCATTAACTTGCCCACCTTTGATGATTTTTACTACAGCCAACGGATCAATAACAACAATTCAAGAATACGTGGAAGAGAAGTGTGGTAAATATATACAAAGTATAGAAAAAATAGGTACTAAATTAATTCCAGTAAGAAGTAAAAACCCATAATACAGAAAAATACAGAAAAAGCAATTTTAAAATTAACATCACTAATTAGAACAGAAAAAAAAAATACAAAATGATAATTTTCTTTGATTTAAATAAGGCATTTGACATAGTAGACCATAATATACTTATAAGAAAGTTGGATAATTTAGGTATAAGAGGAGATACGTTGGAATTATTAAAATCATATCTAAATAAAAGAACATGTTGCACAAAAATCAAAAATAAATTGTCTAAAACTAAAATTATTAACTGTGGAGTACCCCAAGGGACCTCCCTAGGTCCTTTGTTATTTAATATTAATATTAATAGTTTAACTAAAATTAAAATCAATGGTGAAATAGTATTATTCACAGACGATACAGCATTAGTTATCGAAGCCGATAATCATGTTGATTTATATAAAAGAGCTAATGAAGACTTAACTAATGTCAGAAATTGGCTTTTTGAGAATAAATTATCTGTAAATATTACTAAAACACAATACATTGATTTTTCTTAAGAGTATTCAAATAAAAATTTAATTATTCATGACCTTATATGTACAAATTTTGATAAATGTAATTGTCCCAAATTAGAAAATGTAGATGAATACAAGTATTTAGGATGTATGATTGACAAAAAACTATCATATAACACCCAAGTTGATGAAATAATTAGCAAAATAAGTAATAAAAAAAGATCAATATTCTATATTTAAAAAGAAAAAAGTTATAAGAAATCAGTGTACTCAGCTTTAATTCAATCTCACTTACAATATTATGTAATATATATCGGGGGAAAAAAAGACAAATTAGATAAACTTCAAGATATAGTAAATAATATTATTATAAAATTCAAAATTGAAGGCGTAGATTCTGTAAAAGACCTACTATTAAATAGATTAAAAATAAAAAAAGAATATTATAACTTGCATTATCTGATTCTGCAATATTATGAAATATTTAAATACTCTTAATAAATCTTGATTTTAGTTTTCATCTTGCAGACAACCTTTTCCTATTATGGCTAGATTTTATTATAAGTGGATTAACATTATCTGTTTTTTGTTTACACTTAAAACAATATAGTTTGTTCATTTATAACTTTATAAGTAAAATAAACTACTATCAAAAATAATGATAAGGTTATAATAATGATAACTGTAATTCTTCTTCATAAATTGTACCTTCTATATCTTTAATTTTGTAATAATTAACATCTGACTTAAAAACTTTTTCAACTGTGAAAATTTCCTTAGACCAATTTGTTTTCAATTTATTTCTATATACATCAACTATTGATGATAATCTAACTCTATCATTTATCACAAATTTAGGTATAGAACTACTAATATCATAATTATAAACACTATTAAGTAAATCATTCTCATTATTCTTATTAACTTCAACAGGTTTCATTTTTATTGTTCTATAGTATGTATTGTTATATGTCATAATAATCTTCGGCAATTCAGAGATCCATACATTATTTAAATAAAGAACTTTCTTTAATTTATCACCTAATGTACGGTTAAAACGTTCGATCATAGAACTCTTTTTATCAGTACCAGTACTATACATTGTTATG